TTAAATGTATTCATTTGAGTTCGATTTCCACACAGCGGATAATCTTTTTATTTATTTTTTTTCTTTTACATTTGGCATTCCAATCAATCATCTGGGCTGCTATCTTCCACTCAGGATGACCCTCGTTGCCATAGATACACTCTGCAATCCTCCCCCACATACATGCTCGCACATGCACACACGCACGCATGCACGCACGCACAAACACACACACACACACACACACACACACACACACACACATTGAGAGCAATAAGATGATGATAACAATGACGAACAAGTAATGTAGACAACGATAAAAATACAGAAGTTTATATTGGTTTTTATTATTGCGAATGGCAAATACATGAAATGCTTTTCAGAGAAAATCCAGTAGACAGTTGCCCTAATAAAAAACAGAAGGTTCTTGGGGTTTAAAAATTGCATACATATTACACCAGCATAGCATAGAATATACTTAAATTGGCCTCCTCTGTTTTTCAAGTGCAGCAGAGTTTGAGAAAACATTAAAATCGTATTAATGAGAGAAGGAACATCCAGATACAACGAATGAATTTACATAAATCAATAATGTCAGTGGTTTCATTTAATGCTATTGATAGTTCAAATTAACTGCATACAAGTACAAAATATAGTTTAAAAGTGGTCAGATTCAAGACTCGCTGTGTTGCTCACATAATGCAAAAGAACTTTCTTGTTCTCTCTCTCTCTCTCTCTCTCTCTCTCTCTCTCTCTCTCTCTCTCTCTCTTTCTATCTCTCTTCCTTCATCTTTCTCTAGTTTTCTTCGTTCTCTATTCTATTTTTATCTGTCAATCGGTTTTTATGTATATCTGTATGTTGCTGTCTCTCTCTCTCGTTCTCTCTCTCTCTCTCTCCCTCTCTCTCTCTCTCTCTCTCTCTCTCTCTCTCTCTCTCTCTCTCTCTCCCTGTCTTTCTCTCTCTTTCTCTCTTTCTTTCTTTCTCTTTCTCTATCTCTCTCCATCTATATATCTACTAACTTTAACTCAAGCATCTGCCTACAAGCTCGTTAACGCAATAACTCATTGTGTTGATATTTCTTTATTTTCAAACAAGAGACTCTCCATTAAGACGTCAAGTATCACAATCATATAAAGTGCAGTGTTTCAATGATCCAGGAAATAAAGACATGTAATCACAGGTATCAGGAAAACTGAGATCTGTACACCTTCACCGCACACTATCATGGCCACCACTTTGTGCTCTCTTTGGTGTAACACGTGCGTACCCTGGATCATGTCAGCACAAAACGGAGAGCAAAACACGAACCTCACTCAAAGAGTCTACATAACAAGAGAGTACACTCCTCTCTTTGAGCCAATTTAAAAAGTGTCCACAAAATTCGGTGGCGTCCTCTTCGCAAATGCGCACCCTTTGCGAACAGAGTTACCCTACTTGTGTTAAAAATATCAAAGTTAACCTAACAAGCTTTTGAATAAATAAGAATTCAAATTTCGGAAGAACGCTTTTTTTAAAAATGGTTACGCTGACAAAAAGCCTCTTCCGGAGGAAGTGGGGACTGTTTTCTTCGTTTAATTTGACTTTAGAATGAGAGGCGAGAGGTCATTAAAATTTAAAAAATACCAACTAAAACTCGGCACTCAACGAACCCGAACAGCTGATGAACAACAGGCGATCTGCGCACACGAGGGGGTGCTATTCCTATTCTTCTTCTGGAGAAACGAAAGAGAGTTTCAAAACAGACTGCAGCACCATCTGAAGCAAAGCGCGGACTTCCGGCGGACACTTTTTTTGCTGAGTGGACCATCTTGTTATGTACTATCTTTGCCTCACTATAGCTGAGTGTATACGCTCACCTTTTCCACCATGTCAAATGTCATTATTTTGACTTCAATTTTTAATTGAGCTAAATAGTGTACCCCGTAGGGTACCGCAAATACATCGCAGTGCATGATCTTGGATATTGTTCAGTCGAACTTGCTCTAACGGCCGCCTGTATGAGACAATTGTCTGTACAAACGGACATTTCCCAAGTCACCCCTTGCGTTTTTTGACAGTATAATGACACTGTGTGAGGCGTTTTCGCCTTGACAGTTTCGACTGTATTATACAAGCTAATCAACGAAGGGAATATTTTTCTAAGATTCTAGTAGGTCCTTTGAAAAAAGCAGATAGGAGAACTTGCGAATTTCAAAATCATTTTAACTGTGATCTAGATCTGGTTGCTGGATAGGGACACTTTACTCTTTGGTGTAAATCTACAGTAACGTTATATTGGAGGTATCCATTTCTAGAAATGTACCTAGGCGGTTTTTGTTTGCTGATTTTTTCTTCTTTTTTTTTTTTTTTTTTTTGGTGGTTATTTTTTGTTGTTGTTGTTTTGTTGTTTGTTTGTTTTTTGCTTGTTCTTTATTGGATAAAGTATTTTTGCCTCAATTGTACGAGAAGGGAGCATATAAAAATTCTGCATTGATTCTAACTGCCAATGTTCTTCCATAACTCCCAAACTATGAGTTGTTTGTGGTTTGCCCTTTGAAAACAACAGATAATATGTGGACATTACTATCTTCATAACTTCAAACTATTATAGTAGGTTGTCTGGTAGCTATGCCTATTGAAAATCGTTTTAACGTATGATGTTTTTAAAACCAACCCCCCCCCCCTTTCCGGCCACATATGATTTTGCTAGATGCAATGCACACAATGCCACATATAGTAAATAATAATATTATATTTAACAGTTTTTCTCCCATGCAGGGCGCTATGGGCAAAATTTTGTCTTCACATACGAAGAAGCAGAGTCTTGAGGAACATGGGGCACACCAGCATTGTTATACTTATGTCTCATCTAAAGAAAAAACCCACTCATAAAAGTATAAGAAATAAGATAAGATAGTTTTGTGCATAAACAGAAAGACTACACATCATTAGTATACGATCTTAAGTCAAATCTACCTAATGAAATAATGTCCATATCACAATCAAAAGAAATCAGCACGTTGCTCGCATGTGTATCGGGGCAGTCTGGACAGAATTACCTGGGTATTTCTTACTTTTCTCAATACCCTAATCGACACAATCCGGGCTGAGATGAATATATCCCAGCAGAAAGATTGAGAAACTCGATTTAAAAAATGTTCTCCCCACTTGGGAATCAAACTCCTTACCAATGCGTGTGACAGCAAAGTGCCTAACCGCCACAACACAGATGTCGATGAACTCCCCATATGACCGTAACTCCACGAGTTGGCTCTTCCCTTAAACAGGCCTTACATTCTCGCACGCCTACACGGCTTTGTACCATATTGCTGTTGTTTACTCAAGTGGAATTAACAGCCACGAGAAAATATTGACAATGTATTGATTTTTTTCTTTAAAAAAAGGATCATATCCCATCTCTATAAAACAACTCAACCCCTGTTTTCATGAAACAACTCAAGTACTGTTTTCATGAAACAACTCAAATACTGTTTTTTTTTAAACTACTCAAATCCCGTTTTCATTTTTTTTACCCTCAGATTTCTTTTCGTAAAACAATTATTCAAAATGGGATTAGATCACCCTTATTTTCAGACACCGTTCAAAGTGCAGGATTAAAAAGAATATCTTCCTTTAAAATAGTTGCCGTCACGAGTGCACAACTTAACATTGGTTGGCAAGAATTTAAGTAAAAATAAGCACATCAACACTACAACTGCCTCGTAGTGTAAAGGGGGGGGGACAGACAGATGTAGTAAAATAATAGAGGGCCAAAAAAGAAGAAGGATACACGAGCCAGTGGCAGTCTCCATCTGCACATCAGGAGGCGACTGAACATAGAGCTTGATTAATTTCAAAAACTTTGTTTGAGTGAAGTTATGTGCACATCGACACAATAATGGCAATTTAGTGGTGGGGTAAAGTAAGACAGACCGATGAACGCAACAGAGGGGAAAGTAAAGAAGTAAGACCTACCAGTGGCACCTCCAACCACCCGCTCAAAAACTGTGGTTATCTTGTTTACGCTCCCATTAACACAATTTAGAACATAATGGGGGGGGGGGGGCGGGCTGTTTCAACCCTGCTAGCTAAGGCCAAACCAGGAGAGAGGGATACAACTTTAACGTTCCAGGAGACAGATAGAGACACTCGAAAAAACAACAACAAAGAGCTGCCAACATGTGGACCAAACTCATGTAATCTGCGTAAGACGGCTAAGCGCCCAACCGCTGCACCACATACACCAGTGTGTTAATAAAAATGTGAGGAACAGTACTTAAATAAAAAGAAGATGATATTTTCAAAACTTTCAATCAGTTCATCAATAACATTGTTTTGCTAGTTCCAAGATCGATTGCAACAAGATTGCTGGCTCCCCAGTAGGTAGGGCAAGTACAGGCGTCCTTTAAAATGCCGTTGTCGATATCGGCAATTAATTATCGTTATTACAATTCATTTGAGACTATTTAATTCATTGAAAGGTGTATCTTGTTTACAAAGAGTATGAGCAAACATTGTCCAATAATCCATAGAGCCTTCATATAAGAATGAAACAAAACGTTTTTAAGAAGTGTTTATGACGATATTGTGCAAAACTAAGAGTCGATTTTCGAGGACGTTTTTGTATAGAAGTGTATCTTGAAGTCTTAGTGCATAATCTTTGGTACGTTTCAACACCAACCCAACACTCTTTTGTAGGCTCACGAATCGCACCATACCAGGCCGTTGGTGATCCTGGAAAAACCGCATTATTATATTATGTTACAGAACAAACCGTTTAATTTTATTTTTCAGTAAACACCTTTACTAATATTTTACAGCATTGTACTGACCGTGTATTAAGATTTCACAGTGCATAGAAATAGTTCATCAGCACCTGTGGTGCAGTGGATGTGCTGACCCGAGTTCGATTACCGAGTGGCGAGAAATTTTTATCGAGTATCTCGGTTTTTCTGCTGGAATGTTGTTGCATCCTCCTCAGCCCGGGTTGGCCCTGACAGGCATGGCTGCCTGTCAGGCAGGGCCGGAAGTCTGCCTCCTCAGTGGTCTAAAGTGTGTCTACTGGGATGTAAAACACCTACATTAAAAAGAAATAGTTTGAGTTTGCAGATTTTTTTAAAGTTTGGTTGTTTTTTTGTTTGTTTTTTTTTAGTTGTTTTTTTCCCAATTAAGTTTAGTTAACAAAGTAAAATAATACAATTCAAAGGAAATGAAATTCAAGTAGCATCCACCCCTTGAGGGAAATCTAGTTCACAATGGCAGAGATACACATATGAATACATAAATACATATATACATATTATTATAAATACACCTACAGCAATTTGTTTACGTTTCATATCACACAATATCACACCAATCCAGGCAACCAATGCGACATTACCGGTATTCTTTGTGCAGGGTCCTCTTTATGAGGTAAGGTTATCGTGCTTCGTTTTTCAAGGAACTCCCGTGATGACTCACCAAAGCGTCTTGTCACTGAAATCATTCCCGACATTATCTGTGAGCTTTAGCTCATTTTAACTCTCAGCAACTTGAGCCCAAATTCTACGTACTTGTCAAGGCAGAATTGCGTTAAAAAAACGACTTATTTATGGGTAAAAGAGAATTTCAACATCCCCTCCCCTCCCCCCCCCCCCCCTCCCCACTTTTTAAATTTTCTTTGTATAAGTAAAAAGTCCCTTTCACCAATTATGAAAAGAGAGTCAAATGCCATTTTACGAGAGAGGATGCCCCACAATAGTGTTGTGTTCGAACTAGGCCGAGTAAGCTCTGAATAAGGGAGGGGGCAGGGCTTAAATTGACGTTTTACAAGTGTATATTGTAATTAAGTAGATTGTATGAAAAAGAAGTTGTGATATCAATTTTACAGCGTGGGTGAGATGTGTTCTATAAATAACGCTGAGGACAATAGTCTCTTAAGATCTACAAGTCAAGACCCCAGAAAAACGCAGTTTTATCTAAGTTACCTTTGCATATGACATACTTAAATTCAAAGTTTCCACACTCAATATCTCTCGTGGATGAAGAACAAAATTAACATGATTTATCAAACAACGAAGAGAATATGTGTTTTAACTATAATATGATATAGAGGGAATCAAGGAAAGCTCCCCAAACACTCTCATTCCAAACACTCTAAGAATCCTGATATAGAACTTTGTAACTCTTGGGTCGGCAAGTATAGGCTACGCCATACATTGTTTTTGTTGCATTTTTAGTTGTTCGTTTGTTTTTTCTGGGTTTGTTTTTTTAAGGGGGAGTGGATGATTTGTTTTGTTTAGTTGTTGGGTTTTTTTTATAGGGGGGATAACGTACACTTCGATTTGAGCTAGACTTTAAGATATTCAAACTGTGAATAACTCCGTTGTCTTTTCAAGTGGTAGCGCCATGAGCAAGGCAAGAAAAGCCTTTCCCCTTTTCTTATTGCTCGAGGCTATAATTTAACTCATTGTGCAGTTGCATGTTCTAAATCGATCGACAAAGTACACATGGCAATGTCTTACATGGGCTAAACAATCAATATTTGTGGAAAAGCTCAATTCATTTAAGAAAATATCGATAAAATTGAAATGTCAGTGGGCCGGGTCGAAAGGGGGGGGGTGGCGTTTGTTTGTTATCCTTACTTCAAAGGTCCCGCATGGCCCCATTCTAAATAAGCTGACATTTCATATATTACATATCGAAGCCAGACAAGAAAAAGTGTTTATTTGTATTCGGATGCTAATTATAGTATTCCTTGTGCCATAAAAACAAATTCAAACATAATGTACATTGCCAAATTGTGGAATAAATATTATCAGTGTATACTTTCAAAAGTGTTTAACAACAACAAAAATAATAACCGTTGCTGTTGTTTTGCTCTTGTTATCCCAAGTCTGTTCTTAGAGAAGTCCGTTGATAATGACCGTTGGAGATGGAGCACACCAAAATTTGCGTGTCGGGGAAGATCAGAAGAAGTCAACGAAGGTCAGAGGTCGACATGAAACCCGCAGATGTCACTGGACAAACTGATTCTCTAACACGTTCGTACTGTCCATTGATTGGTTCAGTTCAACAGTCTGTGGAACAGGGGGGATTTTGCTAAGCTTATTTTTTTTATCATTCTTGAAGTAAATTTCACTATGACCAATGTCCACAGCGCTTTTTACAAATTCAGGCACTCCATAATATGTTCGACTGCACTGTGTTCAATAATGAAATATCATTACTTTTTCTTCAAGTGAATGTGCCAATAAACAAAAGACATTGCCCTTTTATTTCTACTGGGCATAATGTGTAAAGTTAGCAAAAGTATGCGTATAAGTTTAACATCCCTATAATTAATATTTGTGTCATAAAACAGGGATGGAAAAAAACACCCATTCATACATACAAACAAATACTCGCAAGTACAAAATCATCTCGATGGGGGAGTAAAAAGTACCAACATGAAAAACATCAACAACAAAAACCACACATACACACACGCACATACACACACACACACACACACACACACACACACACACACACACACACACACACACACACACACACATACACGCACACACACACATACACACACACAGACAAATACCCACAGACACACACCTGGTTCTATCTATGACTTTTTTAATCGTCCTTGTGTACATCATCACAACAGTAACCAATTAAGCATCATACACATAAAAAAGAGCCTAGTTGCCGGCCTGAAAAGAAAAGTAAAGAACTGTGAGAGTGGGGGGTGCTTGCCTAAGACCAGGCCTGACGTCGGGCTTGCGGCCTGAATATTAATACTCCCTACAGAAGATATCACGGGGTAAATAGTTTGAGGAGAAACATTGAGGACTACTGTCTTTCTTTTATTTGTTCGTATGGAGCAACGTCGCTCTTTTGTTAGTGCTTGAGTGCTTAACCAGCGTTGCTTGTACTGTTTGGCTTCCCGAAAAGCCGAGAATGTATCTGAGTGTTCCATGGGTCCGTTAGGGTAAAAATATTATAATAGTGTTAAACGCACAGAGCTTGCTGTAGACGGGAAACGTGTGCTAAACAAATAGAAAGAAGTGGGACCTACTACAGGTGGGCCAAGGGCAGTCTTGTATTTATTCCATTTCTCTCCCTCACCTTTCCGTGGGTGGTTGGTGGGTGCTCTGGTGTAGTTTGCTCCTTCGTTCATATGAAACATCTATGGCCATTATCTCCCTTCCTTCTTTCTTTTGTTTGATACTCTTTAGTGGCAACGCTTCTAATCTTTAATATGACCTGTTTATTGTGTTGGAAGTGCCGTAAAACTCTCAATCAAACTTTTAAAAATCTTGTACTTGTTCTTTTCCTCACTTACCTCCCCCTGCTTGTTCTTCTTCTTGTTCTTCATCCTGTACACTCGCTCTCCGATGTCGACAATGATGGCAATGACGATGAACACTCCAAGAACGATGAAGACGCCGATCATGTTGGTCAGCTCTAGCTCTGCCGTCGTCTTCTGGCTGATGGACCTAGTGTCGTCATCTTCCGTACAGTTCTGACCGGCTGACCACCACCTGCGTCATAACACGGGTGGTAATTGGTTTCAGTTCGCTAAAGGTGTATTAATGATAATAATAATAATAACATTTACCATTATAATAGATAGCATTTGTGTAAGGCAAAATTCCCGCTCAACAGCGAGCTCTATGCCCATTTCACTTTCAGTTTAAACTGACGATAATCTTGGTATAAACACTATTTGTGATCTTTAAAATCCGGTAAAAAGAGAATCCCGAGAGTAGTTTTGTTAATGTTGATACGCTGGTTCCAAATGTGATATTATTTTAAAGATAGGACGTAATTTTCAACAAGTTTGTGAACATAAATGTTATCGTTGACGAAGAGCAGAGTGAAGACAAGCACATCGACACAATGACGTTCATTCATTTGTTTGCTTGTCTGATTTAAAGAGAAGCACATCGACACAATAGCAGTTTCTTTGTTTGTTGCATCAAAGAGAAGCAGATCGAAACAATAACAGTTACTTTACCTTGTCTGTTTGAGAAAGTAAAAGCACATGGACACAGTAACGGCTGTTTACTTTGATTAGTTATTCGTTTGCTTGCTAATACGGGGTGCCCACTACAGCTGGATCGGGCCGATCGCCCGACTTGATCGCCTGAAACTGAAAACAAACACGTTTGTTTTTGAGGCGATCGAGTCGGGCGATCGGCCCGATCCAGCTGTAGTGGGCACCCCGTAATTAAACAGAAACACATCAACGCAATAACGGTCATTTAGTACAGAGGAAAACATGTCGGACATATAGGGACAGTAGAGGGAAAGAAATGTAAGACTTACTAGAGGCGCCCTCAAACTACCCGCATCAGCTTTTAGAAGGGTAATCAAGTTCAACGAAAGGGCTAGACGGACACAATAGCCTAACTTATAAATAAGGCACTGCTCTGCGGGCACCAAGAATGCATTGCATAATAATGAAACTGGATGTAAACGTCATTCTATGAAAAGCAGTTAGTCGTTTTACTGTCTTGTATGAACTACATGCGAGCGAAGGAACAAATACGAGCACAGAAGAGGACTCACTCCACAAACATAAACATCATGATAGTAATAATAGTAATAATAATAATGAAAATATGGAAAATAAGAGTAATAATAACTACTACTACTACTACTACTACTACTACTACTACTACTACTACTACTACTACTACTACTACTACTACTACTACTACTACTACTGCTGCTGCTGCTGCTGCTGCTGCTGCTGCTGCTGCTGCTGCTGCTGCTGCTGCTGCTGCTGCTGCTGCTGCTGCTGCTGCTGCTGCTACTACTACTACTACTACTACTACTACTACTACTACTACTACTTATAATAATAATAATAAAAATAATGATAAAAATAATGATAATAATAATAGTTTGTCCATCAATGTCTCTCAATGAACAATGCATCTGCAGAGGAGAATGTTTCTAAGGTGAAATAACGGAATTACGGGTTAAGATGACTAGTGGCTTCTCATATGGCCAATGAGATCAATTGCAGCAGAGAAAAGTTTGCCACATTTCGAGCATTCAAAAGCTCCACTCACACTAAGACAGCTTGCGGACTTCTCTCTTATTTTCAACATTTAATAGACAGCATTTGTATAGCGCAAATCCTCGCTCAAAAGCAAGCTCTATGCGCTTCACAACCTATACCATTACCCCAGCAGACATGAAAGCATTCTGAAACAAACAAAACTTCCTTGGAAGCCTACCGTGCAAGCAGTCATTTATAGGCGCTAAAACATTAACATACTGACAAGAACGTTCACTGTCTATGGCCGGGTACCCATTTCCACCTGGGTGAAGTGAGGAAAATGTGTGTAAAGTGCCTTTCCCAAGGACACAACGTCGGGCCCGTGGCTCGAACCTCCGACCCTACAACTTCTCGATTACGAGTCCTGTGGCCTAACCACAAGGCCACCGACGCCACACATTTTTATTCGTGAGGCCCCATAAATAAATCAACTAATAAGTTAACCAACATAACACTATGCAAAAGGAACAAGGCAGCTCACTTTTCCTTGAGAGTGTCCAGGACGCCTTCTTCTTTCAGCTCCAGCAGAGCTCTGTTGATGTCATCGAGGTAGGGGGCCCCTGCAAGTAGATGCAGGTAGGTAAGAAGAGATGGTGGAATGGTATAGGTTCAATGCTCCTATGAACACTAGTAGGTTATTTAAGAGGCGGAATATCCGAGTTTAACGTTCATCTCCGAAAGGACCCAGCCAAATGGGAAATCTGTGTCAAGTGCCTGTCCCAATGACACAAAGTCGGACCGAGCTGAGGTTCGAATTCCCGAACCCGCAATCTCATGATTATAGGCCACTGGGCCACGGACGCCACGAAGGCATGTAGGTAGGTGGGTTATGTTTTGTTTTGGTAAGTGTTTTACGGTGCTCACAACTGAAGGTCATATGAGCGCGTGGGACACATTATACATTTTCAGTAGGTAGGAAATTTTGAATATTGCCCGGATGGTGACCGACGCTTACTCTTGTCGATTTTAGACCACCAAGGGATCTTTAACGGGCGCAATTTATATACAGGACCTCTGAGATTGTACGCCCTTGTCCGAGAAGGCAAGCTGTATATTTTTCCTACAAGAAGATCAGGGGTGTGGCTGAGAGACAGTGGTAAGAAGGAGCCTAGAAGTAACTGAAGAAAGGCTGCAGAAAGAGTCAGGAGTCCAGAGGAAGGGGCAAAGGAGGCGAGCGGTGGGGGTGGAATTTGGACACGAAAGCAGACGACAGAACATTGCTAGGGAATAGGAAAGGAGGAGAAAGGAGACAATTATAGAGATGACATTTTTTCCGTAGCTACCCGGATTCGAACCCGGGACCTTTGAATGAGAAACAAACACCTTAACCTGTAAGCCGCGAGAGCCACCTGGGTGGGTTAGAAGATGGGCGGGTTGGTAGGTAGGTAGGTAGCAAGGTAGAGAGGTGGGTAGCTGGGTAGGTGGGCGGGTTCGTAGGAGGGTGGGTGGGTTGGTGGGTTAGTAGATGGACGGGTAGGTAGGCAG